ATAAATTAATTAAAATTTTAACAAAGTAAATAGGAATTGAGACTCAGATTCCACAAGAACATGAAAGAAGCCATCCATTTGAGTGTTAGAAAGAATGTGGGTCAATAAAGGATAGGGTCGGGGCTGCAGAGCTGGCTCAGCAGTTAAGAACACTGGCTGCTCTTAGAGGACCTGGGTTCAGTTCTGTGGGAAGCGAGCGCAGCTGAGTCAGCCAAAGATGGCGCCTTGGTTGGCTGCCAAGTCTCGTGACCCTCGCTTATTTACTCCAACCCTCGGAAGCCCGCAATGAGCCCGATCATGTGCTGCCTGCCTGATCAGAGACGTCATCGAGCATGATCCTGCTACATGGCCCAATAAGCTGCCTCTCCGCCTGCCTGGTGTGTGTGTGTGTGTGTGTGTGTGTGTGTGTGTGTGTGTGGCGTGTGTATGTGTGACCTGATTGGTCCTGGCTGGGGGGAGGGCTGTTGGGAACTATATAAATGGGGACTGAAGTGCGTAATAAAAAAAAGAAGAAGCTTGAACCTCACCTTGGTGTCTGTGTCGTCTCTCCTGGACTCTGCTGGACGGAGTCTTGGACGGAGTCTTGGGTCGCGGCACAGTTCCTAGAATCCACATGGCAACTAACAACTGTCCTTAACTCTAGTTCCAGGGGGATCCAATGCCCTCTTCTGACCTCTGAGGGCATTGTACAACACAGGTGCACTTATACACATGCAGGCAATACACTCTTACACATAAAATAAAAATAACAAAATTTTAAAAGTAAAGTATAAGGTTTATGGATCACTAATTGTATAGAAGTAACAATTCATTTATAGCACAAAGGTCTTTGTCATATTATCTTCATCAGACTTTTCGACCAGTAGCACCTGGGTGTTACAGGGTAACTGGCAGGGAGTTAGAAACCTATAATGGAAGAATGTACTGGTTAGGAATTGAAATCCTACTTGGGGTTCAGGCTGAGGAAAATATTGCTTATGGTTGGGAAAAACATGAATCCTTTAATCTGCTAAGGTAGCTGCGGCTTTACTACCCAGCATGCCATTGGCCCATACTTAGGTGTTAAAGGGAGACCTAAAAGGACTGAATCTCTGTTTGTCCCTTCTGAAAAAGAGGTCATGGCCATTACTGTGCATGCGATTCTGTGTGGAGCTGAAGATAATTTGGATTCTCACTGCCAAGAGGTTCAATAAATAGCATTTCTAGAAAGGATAAGGAGCTAATTATTCTATTGACAATGTAAAAGCAGACTGTAACTGTAACATCTGTCAAAGGACTCCCATTGATGTCCTAAGCCAACAGAAGTCAGAGGCCAGCTGTCTGGAATACAAAGTAACAACAGCCTGGGAGCGCTCACTAGCATGCATAAAAGTAATGGCCCTACCTGCAACTTGAAGATTTTCCTGAGTCTCCACTCCACTGATGATGACAGCTGAGTTGAAGGCCAATTGAAACTGAGGACTTCCTTAGTCCAGGTCCAAAACCTGGAACTTTTGTCTGGGAATCCTTAGATCCCAGTACAATGCCTCCAGCGTCATGTTGAAAGTAAGGTGGCTTAAAGGCTGTCTGGTATTTGTCAATAGACACAGCGTGTATTGACAATTCATTTCATCTGGGAGATGAGCCAGTGGAAGATTTTTAAAAGATTTTAAGTTTTTAAATTACATGTATATGCATGTGCTTTTGTAGGGGCGTGTGCATGTGAGTGCAGATACCCTCAGAGGTGTCAGATCCCCTGGAGCTGGAGTTACAGGCAGTTGCGAGCTGCCTGACATGGATATCTGTCACTGAACCCACGCCCTCTACAAGAGTAGTACATGCTCTTAACTGCTGAGCCCTCCAGTGGGAGATTTAAAGTTGCCGCCTAAGGCTGCAAGTTCTATCTGCCTTTTATTTTTTTCTCCAACTGGTAGCTTAAGTTTCTTTTCCTTCTCTGTGTTCCTCCTCTAGATCGGTCATAGAAAACAGACTTTGCTATATCTGGTAGGCCATCAATGGGAGCCTGGGGGCTCAACAATTGCTCTCATTTCCTTCTGATGTCAGGGGCAGATTGAGCAAGGACTCTGTTCCAGTGAAGACGCTTGCCTTTGAAGATGGAGGGATCAGACAGAGACCACTGCTACACTCTAGAAAGGCAGTAGTTTTCACTAGGTCCTTGGCCAACAGCCTCTAGACACTGTTCATGTCTCTCTAACATCTAACTTAAATTATCTGGTTACATTGTTTGTATAAATCTGGCTCTTTTACTTTTGACATTTGCCCAGTCATTTACAAAAGATGTCTTAAAAAACAAAAACAATTTCTCAAGCCTAGTTAACTTCTTTCTTTTAAAGGTTTGGGAATCAAGCTTGCTCCACTTTTGAAAAAGCAAATCAATAGGAATGAAAGGCAGCCACCCAACTAGAAGGAAAAGGCCACAAAGAGCTCCTGGAGAAAGTGTCCCTTCTCATACCTTATCAAAATGCCAGTGAATGACCAGTGTCCCCCTTTCGCTTGGAGCCTAGGAGTCAGGTGTAGGCACTTTGCCTGCTTCCAGGGTTGCCTTAGCTAAAGGAAGCCACGTTCCACTTTTTTTTCTCAGTACATGATAAAGACAAGGTTGCATGAATTTCCCTCCTATAAGGTTCCAGAAAGATCAGAAACCCAGAAAGAAAGAGCCACTTATTCTGGCCAAAATGTCTCTGAGGATAAGGACTGCATGGGAACCAAGTTCCTTTTCAGAACCCAGTTAGTACATTGTGCAAAATAAGTGCCTCAAAAATGCAGAGACTCACCACTTAGCATCAAGTACTGTTGCCTTGATTCAACATGGGAAGTGTAGTGAGCTCACTGTATGGCAGTAGGGATGCTCAGAAAAGATGACATGAGTGTAGCCATCCCCTCTGAAAACCCTGCGTGAGGCTAGCACAGGTGCAGCAGGTGACCAAAATGCAAGTGACACAAGAGCAAGTTACATGGGGCATGCAGCCTCAAAAACATAAGCAAGGGCGAGCCTGCAGACTGGCTCAGAGGTGCAAATACAGGGGAGCTAGAGTCAAACAGAGCAGAGTTCCACAGTCTCAGCCCAAGGAAGGGGATCATGACTTACCACAACAAAGATGAAGGAAATCGGATTGCAGCTGGGCTGAAACACCAAAAAGATGGCATCAAGACCTTTGCCTGAATTCCACTGGGCTCCCAGGCCCTGTGATCACTCTTGAAGAATCTAGGAGAGTCACAGAGCATAGTATAGAGGAGAGCTTATCACATAGTGGAACAGAGCAGTCTCAAGGGTGAGAACGGACAACAGAGGAATCATTATGTCCATCTACATTTCAGGCAGGCTTTGCTGCTTCTAAAGCCTCTAAAACAAGCAACTTTTCCAGGAGACATCATTAGTCCATGTTTGGTTTGGTTTGGTTTGGTTTGAGTCTTACAAGAGGGAACAATGGCATGGTGTTGCTCCTTATCAGAAAGCCTCCTGATATACAATAATTGTGTAAAGTTTATGGGTGACAGGGAGGAAGTTAGATGAGTTATTAGTTATTAGTCACTTTTCTGTTGATGTGATAAATACATGACCAAGACAGCTTATAGAAGACAAAGTTTATTTGGCTTGTGGTTCTAGAGGGAGTCCATAAAGGTGGGGGAGGCATGGTGTCAGGAGGGGCCCAAGCAGAAAGCTGAGTGATCACATCTTCAAGCAGGCAGTGGAAAAAGAGAGCCATACTGGAAGTGGGCATGGGTCCATAAAGGTGGGGGAGGCATGGTGTCAGGAGGGGCCCAAGCAGAAAGCTGAGTGATCACATCTTCAAGCAGGCAGTGGAAAAAGAGAGCCATACTGGAAGTGGGCATGGCTATATGGCCATACCTTCTAAAGGGTCCATGACCCTCCCCAAACAGCTGTCACTAACTAGGACAAAGTATTCAAATACTTGGAACCCATGGGGACATTCTCATTCAAACCACCATAATAATTATCTGTTAATGACCTTCTTGGCAGTTCAGGATTTCAAAGGCTCTCTCAGGGCCAAAGCCAGGACCCAGGTCTGGTTCCTCTGACCAGTAATCAGAGCTTGCAGTTCCTGGTTGTTAATTGTAAGGAGGTAAGGGATTCAACCCCAATGTCCTCAAAGCCTGCTGGTATCCAACTAGCTATGTAACAAAAAGAGGGACTTAAACAAGAAGTAGGGACTTACTAGGAAGAGATGAGTAACAGCACAGAAATTAGAACTTAACTAGAGGGCTGGGGAAAGGGCTCAGTGGCAAAGTGCTCGACTCATAAGCATGAGGACCTGAGCTCGATCCCTAGCACTGATGTAAAAGCTGGGTGTAGTATGAACCTGTAACTTCAGCACTGGGGAGGCAGGGACAGGAGGATACCTGCAGCTCACTAGTCAGCCACTGAATCCAACCAGCAAGCTCCTAGTACAGTGAGAGACCCTGTCTCAAAAATAAGTTGAAGAGTGATTGAAGAAGACATTCAACATCAGCCTCTGGTCGCTACACACACACACACACACACACACACACACACACATCACATCACATCACATCACACACATGCACGCACAGAGAAAAAGAAATTAGGACTTATTATAAAGATGATGGTTTATATTATAGTAACCTTTGACAGGAGAATGCGTTTCAGCCTTATGAGAATAAAAGTCAGGCAACACAAGACCATGTAAGCCCTTTCTCTCTCTCTCTCTCTCTCTCTCTCTCTCTCTCTCTCTCTCTTTTTGAGACAGGGTCTCCTTATAGCCCCAGGTGGCCTGGAACTTGCTACAGACCCTCCCTCCCTCCCTCCCCATCCTCTCCTCTCCTCTCCTCCCACACACACTATGTGTACTTTCTTATTGATAGCATGTTTTCACCATTGAAGAGACAGAGTGGCTGTCAATAGTTTCTGAACTTTCCATCTACTTCAGCCACTTAAGGGAGACCTTGACGGACACTGTCTGTGGTGCAAAGGCAGGAAACAGCAGGAAGAGCTCCATCAGTTTAGCTTAGTCAGATGTTCACATGGGTATGAGCAGGTGTGTCCAGGTGGGGCCGGGCCAGCTGAAGCACATGGATGAAGAGAGGGGCAGTCCTACAAACAGGTAGCCTGTTGAACTGATGAAAACAATAGGTCATCGTGGCAAGTCATTCACCAAGCTCCAGTGATTGCTTTCACAATAGCCACGTACAGTTGTCTGTCATTCACATGGCTTGGCTTGCTTGTTTTGAGAGTCCAAGTGAATCTTTTTACCCAAGAAAGAAACTCTCATCTATGGCTCCAGAGCACATGTATGTGAGCCTTGTCCTTGACCCCAGAAGAGAGTATCTCCATTATGTGTGCACAGAGCAAAGGGGACCAGATAAAACACAGTGAGAGTCCCCCATAAGCTTGGTCATTAGTTCCTTTGCATGAAGCCAAGAGGGTCTACAGGGCTGACTTCATGAGGCAGGATGGCTGTATACTTTTTCTACAATGCAGAAGTAGTCTTAGTTTAAACCCAACTCCTGGGGCTTTGGAACAACAGCAGTATACTCTGTAAATCTGTGGGGACGACTAGATTCAGTTTCTGGAAGTTTATCCTTGAATATAATTAGCCTGCTTCCTCTGCGAGTCTACAACCTACCCATTATCCTTTTGAATAAACGTCTCTGCTTAAATCAGTTGCAGCAGTTTGTAGGACTTGAAATTAAGACTGTGGCCCACACATTATCACAGAAACTAGGGTGATATTCATCTGTAAATAGTCCATACGTCTATTATGAACAGAAAGCAATTAACAAGAATCAACAGTAATTGATTACTAATAAAAATGCCCTTTGTTTTGGAACAGTCACACATAGCAGTGGACAAGTGAACCAATACCGTGGACTAATCAGGAGAAGAAGTCGATGTCGTCCGGAATATCAAGAGAAAGAAATAAGATGAGAGACTGTAGTGTGGGTAGTGGAAGGAAGCACTGAAAACAAGATACAGACTGAGTCTCATTTAGGAAAGCGTCTTTAGTGTCAGCTCCACAGGGGTAGTTGTATTCTCCGCTGATATGCACTGTCTACAATCAGGCACTCTGACTGCCCAGCCTTCTGACACTGCAACACATGATGTCATCTACAAAGTTCACACTCAAGAACCACACAATCTATTCACCAAAAACTTCATTTAAAAATCTCATAATGTTTTACAGAAGTTCATGACTTTGTGTTGGACCGCATTTATAGCTGTCCTTGGCCACATGTGGCTGCATGGGGCCTGAGGGCTGGACACACATGCATCATGCCCAAATTGAAATGAAGGTTCTCGGTATCCATGAACAGAAGCCATTGCATAATTCAAGCTCCAGGGATCTGTCCCTGTCTCCCAGCACTGGGATTACAGTTTCATGACATACACCCATAGCCCCATTGGATGTAGAAACACTGACATTGAAGTTACTGTTTTGAGAGATTATCTGGCCCTATATAATGGTCACTATTTTGTTAAGTATCATAAGTAGTCTACAGAAGCAGGACTGGCATACCTCTGGCTTTGATACTTATTCTCCAGGCTCTGATCAAGTGGCTTCCATTTAGCAGAAGGTCACCTGCTACTTTTTTCCAATGGGATGTTCTGTTCCTCCCAGTGTGGAGAATCTTGTCAGAGCCCAAATCTCTAAAACACCCAACTGCTGCTTCATACTCAGCCACGCACAGAACTGACAATGATGAAGAGTAAGAACCAGAGAATTTGAGAAAAGCAGGACAAAGGTGCCAGCTGACAGCCTCTTGAATCCTTACCCACCCCCATCCCCCACGTGCTCATGCCTTGCCTCTCATACTCAGAGAAAGCTGGCATTCTGAGACTAAAGTCCTGTCTTTCATTGTGAAACATTTTGATACCTGTAAAAATTATATGTAAATCATTAAGAAGGTTAAGAATTTGAAAGCGGTATATAAAGAAAAGTCTTTGTACAAAAAAATTTATCCCTTGCCCATAAATTTAATATTTTTATATTTCATTTATTTTTATTTTATGCATATGAGTGTAATGGCCTGAATGTGTGTGACTGTGCCCATGTCATGCAATGCCCACATACACACAGAAGAGAGCATTGGATTCCCTGGAACTGGAATTACAGATGGTTGTTAGCTGCCATGTGGGTGCTAGGATCAAACTCAGGGCCTCTGCAAGAGCAGCCAGTGCTCTTAACCACTGAGCCATTCTTCAGCCCCAAATTTAATATTTTTAAAATATATTTTTTTATCTTATGTGTATGAGTATTTTGCCTGCAGACATACATCAGCACTCCCAGAACTGGAGTTACAGATGGTTGTTAGCCACCATGTGAGTGCTGGGAACTAAGCCTGGGTCTTCGGCAAGAACAGCAAGTGCTCTTAACCACTGAGGGATCTCTCCAGCCTCCCCATCCATAAATCTGAAAACAGACACAAGAAAAAAGCATCTTGAAAACTGAGTCCAAATCCAGTCATAGCTACCCAAGGAGAAATACACCTGGGTGACCATGTGCTGCAAAGTGAATATACCCTGAAATGCATTGGAAATCCTCTGAGCTATCACCAGTCCACAAGTAAGAATCAAGGAAATCAGGTCAAGTCAGTCACCCGTAAAAATTAAGAACTTACCCTGCCAGAAAGTTCACCTTGTAGCTCCTGACCCAAGGAGACCTCACTAAGGTGATGGTGGAGGTCCTGCTGGCCAGGATCAACCTTAGTTCAGCTCTCAGCCCCACTTGTGCATTAAAAGCTCATCTTCCATCATTTTACCTCCCTCCTTGTCAAGACTGATAAAAAAATAAAAAAATAAAAAACAAATACGTGGAGCATGCATTAGGAAGCCAGGTTATGTCCCAGCCATTGCCCAACCGTCTCCTTTCTGTCCTAAGCGGCTCCTATAGAATAAAACGGGAAAACCTTTCTCTTGTTTCTTAGATTAGAGTAGCGGTCCCTGAATTCCTGTTTCCCTTTGCTGACACAGCAGCAGGAGAAAGCAGAACTTACTGATGAGGGACTCACTGCACACTCAGGAGCCCAGAGCCCTGTGTGGAACGCTCCCCCAGGCAGGGCTCTGTGCTCTTCAGGAAATGAGTAAGACCCTACTTCTTTATTACTATAACAAATATCTGAGATCGTTTACTTTATAAAGAAAAAGATTCATTTTGCCTCAATTTTTGGAGGGTCCAGATCATGTCAATTGGCTCCACTGCTTTGAGTCTTTGGTGAGACAGCACATCCACATCAAGGTGGGGTCCATGGTGGACCAAAACCACTTTGTTAATAGCTAGGAGGCTAAAAAGAGCAAGAAGGGTGCTGTGGCCCCAAGTCTTTTTCAAAGACACACTCAGAATCAACTAGGCACCTCCTGCTAATCCCATATGCCACAATCCTTTTCAAAGGCATACTGTAATCGACTAAGCACCCCTCCCCCCAGCTAGATCCATATGTCATCCCAAGACTCTCCACTTCCCAACAGTGCCAGTCTGGAGACCAATTCTTTAGTGCATGGACTTTGGGGGTACATTTCCAGCTGGGCTATATCAGCCACCTGTCATCTCTAGAGCCTGGCAGCGTGGCCGGGCAAGCAGCACTGTAGAAACAACATGGACTTGGAGTAGCCACAGTTGTCGTTGCTCTCTGTGAGACCTGAAGTCATAATCTTTCTCCTCCTTGCTGAGCAGCAAAATAGGGCACTACTCCTCTTCAAAGACGAGGTGCGCATAGAGTCAAGCACTGCTTAGTGATGGTCACACGTTCTGAGAAGCAGGTCACAAGGAGATTTCACCACTGCACAAACACCTCAAGGCACACAAATGAAGACAGCTATGACACCACCAAGTGACAAAGCCTCAACTGCACTGATGGCAAGTGGGAGGGCTGAGTCTGCTGTTGTTCCACCCTGAACTTGATCAACGTCACATGAAAGGTTTTGAAACTACCATGATCTACAGATTAAGGCATGCCATTATAAAATCCATTTTCATCCAGGCCAGGTGGCATAAGTCTGTAATTCCAGCTACTTAAGAATCTGAGATAGGAGGGCCATAGGTTCAAGACCTGCCTGGGATGCAGAGTGAGTTCAAGGCCATCCAGAGAAACCTACTGACACCCGGTCTCAAATTTTTTAAAGAGATTAAAGGAGGGTTGGGGAAACAGCTCAGTGCTAGGACACTAACTTAGCATGCATGAAGCCCTAGGTCCAATCCCTAGTACTGGAATAAACAAATAAATAATTTTAAAATTTACCCTAAATCTGTGCAGCTGCAAAAGAGAAACAAGTCACATATAAAGGAAAACCCATTAGGATTACAGCTGACTTTTCAGTGCAAACTATGAAAGCCAGAGAGCCTGGACCAAAGTATTCCCAGTTTTAAATGACCACAGATTTTTAAAAATTTTATATTTATGTTATATGTATGGGTGTTTGCCTGCATGTATGAGCATCATGTGCATGCAATGACTGTGGCAGCCAGAAGAGGGCATCAGATTCCCCTCTGGAACTAGAGTTACAAATGAGTGTTAGCTGCCATGTGGATGTTGGGAATCAATTCTGGGTTCTCTGCAAGAACAGAAAGTGCTCTTAACCACTGAGCAATCTCTCCAGCCCCATCACTTCAATTTTAAGACTATTTGTGTCTTTTTCTGACCCTTCAAGCCAAGCTGACACTTTTAGCTCCAGTACATAAACCAGCTGTGGATACCCAACTCTAGACTTCTCTACTTTATCCCTTGTCTGCCCCTCTATAATCTCTCATCTCTGCCTGTCAGTGCTGCCCTTGCTCTTCAGTCCTGACTTCACTCTTGCCTTTGAGACTGTTTATTCAGTGGGTGTTGCTGAGTGCTTGCTGAGTGCCCAGGACTACTTGTTCATGGTGAACAGACATGGACAACCCAGATCCCTGGAGCCCCTGGTCTGCATGGCTACTGGTCTGCTATAATAAAACATGGTTTCTCCAGTGAGCTGTGACCTGTCTAGATCTGGCCTGGTTTATCTATTTGCATTTCAATTGTCAATTCATCAAGCAAAGTAAGATCAAAAGGCAAGAAGTACAAGGTGGTACACAAATCTAGAAGATGTAGCATTTTAGATCTCACACCCTCCTCCTGTGGACTCTCACTGGCTTGCA